CTTTTTAGATCCTGCTTCTCTCTTTCCCAGCCATGTTTTTAACCTTTTTACATTTTTGTGTACATTTGCTAAGCATATTCTGCTTTAATATCTCCTGTACCTTTTAAAATGCCATCCTCCTAACTGTGTTGACTTGTTATCTATTGTACCTTTCAATGCCGTCGCTTGGTAGAAAATCCAGTGCTGGTTTCTGTTTTTTTTTTTATTTGGCAGTGGTTTTCTCTTTGTTTCCATTTCTTCCTTTTTTGGTGTCTTCTCACGTGCGTATTGATGTGTCAGTTCTCTTCAGCGTCTTCCCATAGGAATGGAGTTGGTAGAAAAAAGTGGGTTTCATGTGCTGTGACTGCCCTCCCTGTCTGTTTCTTCCAGGAGTTTGGAAAATATCCTTTCCTTACCGCTTTCCTCTTGGAACCTTATCTGTAGCAGTTCTGCTGGCCTTTCTCTTGTGTCCTTTTTGTGCCTTTGTCGAAGAACTAAAGCATGAGATGGGCACTTGGTGTGGGATTGAAATGTCAGAGCACAACGGGGTTTGTATCTTAACCATTCACCCAAGACAAACCAGCCTCGAATGAACCTGTGTGGGGTGTCTGGGTCTGCTAGTGAGCAGTGAAATACCCAGATCCCTTCTGCTGATTCTGCCGTCTGCCACCTTTTTTCAACAAAGTGTTAAGATCCTCACAGCCTTATCGAAACCGCAGATAACCTTTTGCCGTCGCTGCTGTCTCCTCGGAAGTTCTTTGGCATTTCATCTGTTGAGCTTAATCCCTTCGTTTAAGTGCTCTGTTAAATAGTGATGGATCATTTAGTTTAGCAAAAAATAAATCCTTTTGAAGCAGTCATTTCAGAATGTAATTTTTACATTGTGTTTCTTATTAAAGGTGTTCATGGGACATGGAAACAACATTTGTATTCATGTAAAACATATTTGAAAAATACTATAAACTTCCTTTGTGTAATTTTTTAGTTTAATGTTTTTCTCTGATCACTGTTCACTTCAGTGTGTTTTAGTGTTTAACTACTCCTCTACTCTTCGTGCAAGTCCTATAAATAGACATGGCAACTGTGTTTTTATTTTTCTTCCCCCCTCAGCTGTACTCTTGATAGCATTAGAGTGTCTTCTCTGTCTCTCGCAGAGACAGGCTATTGAATCATACAGGCACTTGTTTTTTGTACGGTGCTGCTTATTCATGTAAGATCCAGCAATAGAAATAAGTTATTTTAGTATTCTGTAGAAATTCAAAGGCTGGTGGGAATCACTATCGTTGGTAGGTAGGTTTTGAAAAGGTGATAATTTTTGCGGAGAGTTACCAGGGGTGTCTAAACCCCAAACCCTTACAGTTCCAAGAATTACCTAGTGACTGAGAAGTACTGCAGAGCTGCCTTCCTGAAACTGCACACAGCTCCAGAATGCCCAGTTCTTTAACGTCTCCTTTTCAAAGAGCAGCCATCCAGTTTAGCAAAGCTGCTCGGGGCGTCTCACCTGGCTGCACTGAAGGCAGCGACAGTCGTATCCTACATTCAGAGCTGGCACTGCAGGCGTTTTTTAGGAAAAGCACAGCAGGATGCTTTATGCTGACTGCTCAGCCTGTACAGAAAGCAGGAGAAGTTGAGTGGCCTTTTTCAGAGTCACGTACTTTTGAACCAGAGCATCCAGACAGGATTACTGTTAGGGATCCTCAGCACACATCCGGGAGGGATTAGTAGGGCTGAGGTGTCTTCACTGCCTGTGGGACTCAGTTCAGCTTTTACTTTAGCGTCAGTGTGAAAGGTATAATGAGCCATTTCAGACTCTTAATCTAGTGCTTTTCATAGAGAGTTAAGGAGTACACAGAGTATATTACAATGCCACGTTCACAGGGCATCGTAAACCAGGCTATATAGGTTTGTTGGTGTATAATGACAAAAACAACTCTAGTCCCAGACTAAATTCTCCTGCTTATGCTAGTAATTCTAACAACAAGAGTAAACTCCAAGCGCTTACACAAAGAGGGATACTTAATCCCTTAATCATAGAATCGTGGACTGGCCTAGGCTGGAAGGGACCTTAGAGATCATTTAATCCAACCTCCCTGTCACGGGCAGAAACGGTTGCTTGTCCGGAAGTTCTATTTTGCTAAATTTACATATTGAGTAGGGTTGGTTATGTGTCTGTTTGGGCAAGAAGCTGATAATACTATGATATGACATTCCCAGCAGCTCTCAAAATTGGTCCTTTGTGGAAAATTCCCCCGTTTTTGTTAATACTTGTTTTCTGCTTTTCTAGCACAACAGCTCTTTGCTCCGGTGATGGAGAAGATCAGATAGACGCTTTCTAGGGCAGGGCAATGTTGCGATTTACAGCGTGAACGATCCGAGGCACAAAGCTGTGGTTCTGCATGAATGAGCTCTGCAGCACCTGTCCTAGAAGCAGAATTTTCTAGCTTTGCTTGGCTCACTGCCCATAACTAGACACCTAAAAACCAAAACACACCCTGCTTTTTTCTACAATTTCTGCTTTATTGTGGACTTCACTAAATGGGCACATGTATGTTTTTCTGTACCTCCTTATATAAGCTCCTATACCTTTTCCACGCT